CTATGTTGAGTATGTTGCCCTAGCATTTGCTAGATTGGGGGTAGTCTGGTACATATAAGATGGTCACAACGTGACGGGAACAATGTAGGTAGTGAGTAATTGAACTGCAGTCAGAGAGTATTGTTGAAGTTAACGTTCGTTGTTATAGCGCGACTGTTGAAATTAAGTGTATCGTAAAGTTTTATTCGGAAAGAATAAACCAGTTTTATTAAGAAAGGACTTGTGTCGCTAAAGTTTCGTCGGAACGAAGTTACGGAAAATCAATTAACGAACGAGGACGTAACAATACTTTAGAAGAAAAAGTCTAGTAAATAATCTCAAATAATATAATCAGAATTATTTGGATTAGTTAGTTAGCTGAATAAATATTTAGCAAATGGCCATTAATTATAGTAAGTGCAAAGTAATGCATTTGAGTTACTCTAATTTGGATCATAAGTTTAATATGGATAGCAACCAACTCAATAACATTACTGAAGAAAATGATCTTAGCATGGTGGTGGATTAAGTCACTGGATCAATCAAAGCAGTGCTGTGTTGCTAGTAGTAAAACTTATATAATTTTAGCGTGTATTTATATATTGGAATAATGTGTACAGCTGTGGTACCTCATCTAAGAAATATTTTAAATTATTGGAAATTATTCAGGTGAGAGCTACAAGGATAATTCCGCAGATGGAATGGTCATCTTATGGGGATAGGTTAACAAAAGAAGGGTAAGAGGTGACCTTTTTGAAGATTACAAAATTATCCGTGGAATTGATAGGATAGAGGCATCTGATTTCTTTGTATTGTATTCTGAAGATAATAGGACGAGGTTGGAAAAGACAGGCTAGGTTCCACTTCACACAATGTTATATTTCTAACAATGCGATGGGCTTATGAAATAACTTGCTGTTGGCAGTAGTGATACTACTGAGGTTGGCACTTTACAAGAGTATAAAAAAGAAATTGATAATTTCATCGCTGAAAAATAGAGAGTGGATTTAACTTGTTTTTTTTTGTTGTTTTTTTAAATCAAGGATAGGTGTGCATGGACAACTTCAATTAACCAAATAGTCCCTTGTTATCCATATGTTTTGTAATAAGTTAGGAAAACTGAGAATCTTTCTCGTCTAAAAGCACTGCGCGTTTTAACATGTGTACAAAAAAGTAACAGTTCTAAACTGTCGCCTTACAGTTTGTTTGTTTTAGCGCAAACCTGCATTAGTCTATCATGGGGAATTGAATCCTGGATTTTAACGTTGGAATTATTTGCCTGTTTGTCCTTTCGCATAAAACAACACCCGATATTTAGTTTTATAAGCCCTCAAAAGTATTGATGAGCCAAATGGGCTTAAACGTATTAGTCCATATACTTACCCCCTGAGCCACTGGAAGATAGATAAACTAAACTAACGAGTTTTTGTTTCGTTATATTGTTTGTTTAACATATTTTACTAATTAACCAAATAATCTAGATAATTTAACAAGATTACAGTATTGAGTATAGGACTTCAATGTGTTTTATATTTCAATCTAAGTTTTGAAGAAAACTGCACCACATATCTAAAATAATTTTTGTTGTATTTATTAAAACTGCACTCTTAGAGCGAGACTTGCCTGGTTTGCCCCATACTCTACTTATTTGGCCCCGTACATTTTAGTATAATTTGTTGGAAGTAAGCGTGTGCTGAAACTTAAAAGTTCTCTTTTACGTAGTTAAGTCTGGTGGAGAGGGAGAGGTAATGACTGAGATTATGTTATTTTAGTGTATATATATATATATATATATATTTATTTATTTATCGTACATTTGTAAAAACGTTGCACTACGAACATCTATTTATGAGCTTATGTATAATCAATTTGTTCAAGAAGTTCAGTAATTTAAGTTAAAAGAAAAGTAAGTTTTTAACTTGATGTAGCCTAGGCCTAATCAAATACAATATCATGTAGCAGCATTAACTTTGTAAGGATTTCTTGTTTTCTGTTAGGCCTAACTTACGTGCAGGATGCCGTCAGGGCTAGAAACAACCGTTTTCTTTGGTTCGCTTTTAAATTCGATGACTTTGAGACTAATAATGGTTGGAGACGGCTTGAATGGATAATGAAGAAAAACTTTAATATAACTTTAACATAACAGCCAATGTACAACGTTTCGACAAGGTTTTGTCTTCATCAGGTCAAAACGTACATTTGCTGTTATGTTAAACTTATATTAAAGTTTTTCTTCATCACCCATTCAAGTCGTCTCCAACCATTATTAGTTCGCTTTGTTCTTTTTAAATTAAAAATGATTTTCAGTTGGTATTGGTACCACTGTATTGAGTTAATATTTGCGAGTAATTTAATTTTAGTCAGTAATTCTAATTATTAATATTATTTAATATCGACTAGTGAAAGTGGCATGATGTAGAAAGACAAATCGTAACTAATTAACTGTTAAGTATTCACTAAATTCTACTACCTTTTCAAAGTTCGCACAGCAATATTTTTGAGTCACAGCATAGCGGCTCATAGATTGGCTGTTTTTCTTCAAGTTCAAACTTTTATCTCAGAGCATCATCTCGGCCAATTTTAGATCTAATTGAGGACCTTATTAATAAGTGTAAAGCATTGAGAAGGGTATTTAGTCATGACATGAAAATTACTTTGCACTTGGACTAGTAATGGAAGGGGCTCGATATTTTCACAAACAAATATTTAGTAAAAATACTTAATTAAAAAATTAATTTTTTTGTGCACAGACGATTGGAATCATTGCAAAAAATTACCAAATTTTGTGAAGATACCCATACAGCAGTAAAAGTTATAGTATAAGTACTGAATGTGTGCAAACGTGTATACGAACTCGAGTATACTGAGCCCATCACGTAAGGGTTAGGGAAAGGAGTCATAGCTTTATTTTGTTGGAAATAAGTCTTAAGGTTTGTAAAGCAATGCTTCTCTCATGCCTTTTTTTTTTTTTTCTTTACATCTTGCTTATCTTTTATGCATCAGAAAATTTTGCAATTTCACATGAAAAATCTTTATAATGTCTAGATGGTTATCAAATATTTAAGAAAAACTTTAATCTGTTATTTTCAGTAATTAATCTCTTTAAGGGTTCGGTAAAATTGAGGTATCTTGCAAGCACAATAAAAAAAAAAATAGGAAATAAACATAAATTATGCCTCTTTCATTCCAAAATGAACATAAATTATAACAAGATAACATAAATGTTTAGATGAAATAGCTTAAATCTCATAACATTATACATTTGTTATTTCTATTATATTGACCTTTCACCCATGCCTGGCTAAGAATATAGAAGTTAAACGATGCGGCTCACATGCACTCGTGTTACCATATCCAGTAATATATAAACTGACCTTTAGTCTTTACAAAGTGACATGTCTTGGCTGTGTTTTAGTATTTTGTAAAATACGGTCACATTTCAATTATTATACATTATATATATATATGTACATATATTATTACTATTTACAAATAAATTCTTAAACTAATTTTTCTTAAAACATGGAACAGTAAATAAACAATTAAAGCAAACATTTATCTCTTCTAGTTACGATCTTTGTCCTCGGTTGCAATGCATTTAAAAAATTTGCACATGGAGGACATGAAACAAAATATTTTATTTAGGTTTTTTATATATATATACATTTGAATAACTAAAAAAAATCATAAATTACTACATCAATACCATAGAATTCCACTGTAATTTATCAAGCTTAGTAACTAAGATATATTTTGGTCTAAAAAATATGAAATTTCGAGCACACCCTACCTCATTAAAATATTGGTTCAAAAGAAAGAAATTGTGTAAAGCCTATTAAAATGGCTGAGAAACCCACTAGGGGGATATTCTGGGGTTATTCATTTCATATAAAGAAGTGGGTGGGGTGCCACTGTGTTTGATTTATTACATGAGCAATATCTTGGCAAATTGAAAAGACAAGAGGCTCTTATTTTATATTCTAGCTTGTCAGTATTGGTGATTTTAGTTTCTAATTCGTATGAAACTACAGACTTATTATTTTGACTTTACAAACATCTAATTTGAACCAGTGCTACATTCAACATACCATGTGACACATAAGAATTGATGTTTATCCGTGTTTTCTAATATTTACTTTTAAATTACAAAATTGAGTAATATATAGTTCTAAAACTTGAATTATAACCTACAGTTTAATACCAAACTTATTGACAAAAATTCATGAAGTAGTAGTTCAATAAAATTTGGAATGCGAGTCAACAAACGAGGTGACATGGCCTTTCACTCCTAACCCGTCTCTAAAGGGTTAAATACTGTAGTTGAAGAAAAAGATAATGTTGTTGTGATTGAAAAATCACTTAACTCTCAACACGGGTCGGTCAATTTGATGAAGTCATGTGAATATTTGTACTCGTTTGAAGTCATTATAAATTTAATACTTAACTCTCAATATATTGGGTACATTTTCACGAAACATGGCAGTCTCACAGTTAATATTACAAGTCTTTCACATATAAAAAGTCGTATTTCTTAGTGAAGTATTTTTAATAAAATAAAATAAAGATTTGTCCATG